CCGATTCCAAATGGGGGTAGATTGGTGTTTGCCGTCATATCATAGTGTTGTTTGGCCTTTGCACGTTTTGCTGCAATAGCATCCTGGACAGATGCTGCAGTGTTGTCATTTGGCATTAAGAGGGCTTGGGAGACTGGGAGTAGTCCACGGATGTGTCTCCCCATGCTTCTTTGGGCTGGGCTCATGATGTGTCCTGCCTGGGGGGTATTGTGATAGGTGAGGAGGGTTTCTTGTAGATGGCGGGGTCCTGACTTCTTTAGAATCCACTTTACTATCTCGACGGTGGCTCCTGCTTTGCTGTTTCCTTTTGGCCAATAGGGGGAGCTGGTAATGTGTTGAATTTGGTATTTTCTACAAAGTGCTTTGAACTCAATTGCAATGAATTGAGGTCCGTTGTCGGTTAAGAGTGTTTCAGGGACTACATGATGAGCGAAGTGGGCCTCTGTTTTGGACACAGTAGAGCTGGTCAGAGTGTTTTCGACCTCGTCGACCTCGATAAAGTCAGAGTAGTGATCTGCAGTAATAAGGTAAGTGTGCGACTCAAACATGCAGAGCTCTTGGCTTACAAATTGCCAGGGATACTGTGGGATGGGGTGGCTCTTAATGGGTTCTTTCGAATTCTGTGTTTAAAATTGGGAACATATCCCACACAATTGGCAAGCATTCTGTATATCGCTCCACAGGCCGGGCCAGAATATGATATCTTGACAGCATCGTATGATTGACTCTGGGCCAAAGTGTGCAACATGTGCCTTCTGAGGCACATAGTTCCTTTTAGCCAACAGAATGACTACTTGCTTCCCCTTATAGATGATCCCATCATTGATGGTGAGTCCATCGTGATAGGACCAAAATGGGTGGAGGCTTTGGGGAAGGTTAGACTTCTGTGTGGGCCAGCCTAGGATTATGGGATTGCTTAGGGTGGACAAAGTAGGATCATTTGCTGAGGAGGTTTTGATATCGTCAAGTGTTTGGGAGGTGATCTGTGGGTCTTCCACGTGGTTGTCAATGTCAGCCCTGAAGACTGCAAAATTGGTTTGCTTGGAGTCATTGGCGGTGGTAAGTGTAGCTGTGGAGAATGTATCAGCTATGAGGAGTGATGTGCCTTTCTTGTATGTTACTTTAAAGTTGTACCATTGGAGGCGCATCATCATTGAGAGTTTTTTTCGGAGGCTTGCTGTTGGCCATGCGCCTCAGGTTCGATGAGTGCGAGTGTGCTTTTGAGTAACTGAATGGAGTTGCAGTTTGCCCGTTTTCCCAGGTTGCATTGGCAGTCTTTTGGGCGCGAGGTTTGTTTGTTTGTTTTTCTGATCCTGCTCCTGCCACCAGGTTAGGTTTCTCGAGCGGGAGCAAGAGAGCTACAACAACTTCATATTTCAGTGGAAAACAACCGGAGACTTTATTACCCTGACCATGATGCATAGCGCACCATAACAAATGCACCCTACATGCAGTATATGACAAAATATTTAAGAAAAACTTCCTTGAGGAAACTGTAGTATGTTCTGGCAATTGCTACA